TTCCCAGAATCTTCTAATATCATGACAGTCACATAAATCATGGGTTTCGTCCTCCTCCTAAAGTTTACATCTATCACAGAGGCCATTGGGGTACAGACCTCACTCAATTTTTGTTTATTTGTGATAAGGCGTTCATGGTGGAGGAGCTAAGCAAAGGTTTCATAACGTTGTGGTGTTTTCAACTTCAAGATATTTTTCCAGAGTATGCTTACCGGATTGCTAAAAGAATTCAATGATGTATAAGCAGACTTTATAGTAAAGGCCCCACTTTTATGCCATTTCCATCGTGCAAAAGCATTCCCATTCTAGTCTCCCGTCTCTTGTAACCTGTCCTTCACATAGTGCCAATTGCTTTTTATTGCTCTCCACATGTTAGATCCAGCTCTTTGAAGATTAATCTGAGGGAAATAAGATCATCCCCATAACCATACTTGTTTTGAATTACTTTAACCTAGAGGGCATCTCTCTTAGTCACAAGTCCCCAACCAAGCTTAATCATAAATGCTCGATTTTGCTGTTTTATATGCCTTATGCCAATCCCTCTAATCTATTTATCTGTGCACACTTCATCTCAAGTGATTAGATGCATTTTTCATTGCTGATCAGACTATCCCTACAGAAAATCATAGGCTTTCTTCTCGATCATCTTGCAAGTACTATCAAGTAAGTAAGCTGTTTGCATGGCATAGGTTGGCACGGCATTGATCATTGAGTTCACTAGTGTGCCTCATCCAGTAAGAGATAAGCTATTTATTTTCCAACCACTAAGTTGACTCTTAATTTTATTGATGATGTACCAGTAAGTCTCGTTTGATACTCTTATCATGATGGAGAGGGACTTCCAAATATTTGTCAAGGTCTGCTGGTTGGGTGAAGCCCAGCTCATGACTAGGTTGGGTAGCTTTGTTACGGTTTACATTCTTGGAGAAAAATACTCTCATTTTGCTTTGATTCACTTTTTGTCCAGAAGCCTCACAGAACTATTTCAAGGCCTTCTTAATAACTTCTACCTGTTCTAGACTAGCTTATGCAAAAATCAACAAATCATTAGCAAAAAACAAATAAGAAATAGGTAGGCCATACTTACCTAATTTGATAGCTCTCCATCTGCCAGCATTAATTTCCTCTTGAATGATATGAGCTAATTTTTCCATGCAAATCACAAAAAGATATGGGGAGAGAGGGTTGCCTTAGTGAAGTCCTCTAGAAGGATTGAACATATTTGCCTTAACACCTTCCCAGATGATTTGCATTGAAGCAATAGAAACGCAAGAGTGAATAACATTTTTCGTTATCTCTAGCAATTTAAATTCTTTAAGACAGTGAACCATGTAATTCCAAGAAATCCAATCATATGCTTTTTCTACGTCAATTTTAATAGCAATAAAACCTTTTTTACCATTTATATTGTCAGAGCTTGTCCTACCATGCACAAAGCTGCACTGATTAGGAGAAATAATGCTAGGGAGGGATCTCTTCATTCTGTTGACCACCACCTTGGTAATAATTTTGTAGATCACATTACAAAGACTAATAGGTCTAAAATCCCTGATAGTTTCTGGATGATCTTTCTTTGAGATGAGCACAATAAAGGTGTGGTTAATATCTCTAATGATACTAGGATAGGAAAAGGCTTTTTTTCACCAAGGTAATGACCTAGTTACCACTTGCTTCCATTGATTTTGAAAAAAGAGGGCATTGGGTCCATCTGGGCTAGGGGATTTGAATGCATCCATGCTAAAAAGAGCTACTTTAACTTCTTTGCCATTGACTTCTTTAACAAGATCTTCAAGGTGCATTGCATCAATCTCCGGGTATGAAACACTATTAGAACATAATGCTCCTTTATCTTGGAAAAGGTTATGAAAGAAATTAGTCCTACTTTTTTAATAACCTCGGTATCATCCGTCCAGTCACCATTTTCCTGCTTTAAAGCTTCTAATTTATTCTGCTGTCTCCATCCATTAGCTTTAGCATGGAAATATTTAGAATTTTTATCTCCAAGGTTGTACCAGTCACACTTAGCTTTTTGAGCCCACATAAACTCTTCTTGAACAATCACTTCCTCTAGCTCTAACCAAAGTCTTCTTTGTAGTTGTTCTAAAGAGGAGGAGTGTCCGGACAAAGCTATAGATCCAGAAATACCTTCTAGTCTACCCATCAACATGCTTTTCTTCCTTCCTAGGTGTCCATACATGTTTTTACTCCAAGAGATCAGCTCATTGGTGAAGCAGTCAATATTATCTTTCTACTTATTTCTGTTATCCCATTGGTCTTTCATTAACTTGCTAAAGTCATCATGGAGAACCCAAGGTGCATGAAAACGAAAAGGACGGGAGATAGAGTTATTAGAAAACATACTGTACCGCAATTGGAGTAAAATAGGCCAGTGATCCGACTTGAACCAAGGGAGATTTTTATGATTGCATCAATATAAATATCTCTGGCTTGAGAGTTTGATAGAACATAGTCAATTCTACTTTCACACCCTTCTCTTTTTCAAGTGAAAAAAGGCCCAGAGCATCCCATATCTGTAAGTTTCATTTGATCCACACAATTGCTAAATTCATAATCAACCGGGATGGCTCTTATAGCCATTGATTTTCTTTCATGCGCGTAGAGGGTAGCATTAAAGTCACCTCCTATAAACCAAGGCCATTGAATACCTGGGTCAATTCTTGTAAGATTATTCCAAAGAGCCCGTCGAATAAACTATTTGGGTTGGCATAAACAGAGGTAAAGAATATGAAATGACATATTAATGTGCAGGAGGTTTGGTTTTGGTTTTCTTCAATTTGGTTTCAGTCTTTAAAAGAAAAAGTAAATATTCAAACACAAGGCTTTGGGAAAGATATGTGAAGATGTGTAGGAAAATTACTAGACTTGTGTGAGATTTTTCTTTCTTTTCGTTCTTTTTTCTTTTTTCTTTTTTCCTTTATCATTTTTGGACTTCTTCCTTGTATTGCTTATGCTTTCTTGACATGTTGTAGAGAGAATTGTGCAATGATTTTCATTGTTTTAATCTGATGAATAAATTGTGTATATAATGAAGCAGCAAGTGTTTTGTGTTTTGTGTTCTCTTAGCAGCACGGGAACTTTTGTGTTTTAGATGAAGCAGCAACCAAAATTGATCCAACAAATAATAAATTTGGTTATGCTAATAGGGATTAGAAACTTGGAATATTGTGGGTTAACCTCAACTTTTAGTTCCATAAGCAATTCCCATCACGCGTGAGAAAAATGGAAACGAGAGAACTTCGCATATCAAGAGTGTGAGTTTTGGTTTTCTCAAGCATATGTAGGGAGGAAGAAGAGAAGAAAGACGGAGAAGTAGACGATGCTCATTTGTTTTCTTTTTCTTTTTGGTTTTTTTTTAAACAAATGAGGATATCTTGGTCTTTTTACTATATTTCATAATTCATTTTTAAGATCCAGTCTTGACGTACTGGAAAACTCAAATTAAAATTTTATATTTTTATGGTCTTTATTTACAATTTTTCCTAAAAAAACCCTCATAAAAGAATTTGGTTGTTATTAGGGGTCTTTGGCAAATTGCGGAAAGGCACTTCTGGAGCTCAAACCATGGTTTGGCTCAAAAAGTTACACCCATGTTTTTTGAAATCATGGTTTAGCTCCAAAACCATGATTTGACTCATCTAAACCATGGTTCCATAAAAAGCAGAAAAATTTTGCTTCTTGGAAGGTTAAAGATGGTCCTTTTTCTTCCCTACATTGTAATGGTATCCCAGTACTTGATATAAGAGCTAGTTAACTAATTTGAATAAATTAAAAAAAATTAGTTAAATTAATTATTTTTAATAAATATTTTTTATCTTCCCTAAAATACTCTTACTAATCATGCGTATTAGCTACTAGTACCATTTGATGAAATATTTAACATGTATAACTATTATAATGACTACTTTGAAAAAAATAGATAGATACGAGAAACAAAATAAATTGGGTGTTATATTTAGGACCAAATTTATTATGTTGGAAAAAATATATTATTAACAAATTTATTACTTTAAATAAAAATATAAATTAAAATCTATGTTTATATAATTGTTATATTAACTCATGTCTTTTTTTGTAATTTGCACATGAAAAAGTGTTTCTGATAACAACTATCTAAACACTCTCACTTTATCAAAATTACTTTTTTTACAAAATTTATTCTCTCAAAATCTATTCTCAAAATCAATTTTTTTTCCAGAAGGTATTTTCTAAATCATGATTTAGATTTATTCAAACACCTTTTTAGTGAAAAAAGCCCAAATTCAACAAATGCCCCACTTATCAAGAAGTTGGCCAAAAAAAAAAATGGTGGGGAAAACAAAAGAAACACTTGACAAAACGCTTTTTATAACACTCCCTGGCAACATGCCAATTGAGTGCCTGTTTGGAGTCACGTTTAAGTGGTTTTTAAGTAGTTTTTAGGATTAAAAGTACTTTTAATATGTTTGAGTGTGTTTGAACGAGTTTAAAAAATTAAGAGCTTATGCCAAAATCAGATACTTAAGTCAAAAGCTAAAAATTGCAGCTTATAGTATTGAAAAAGTGGGGAGAGAAAGACAAAATGTGGGTTCTTTTTTTTATTTAAACAAACTTACTTTTACTCAATCATAATCCAAATAACTTTTTACCAATATCACTTTTATAAACTAACTTTTTTAAACTCTAATCCAAACATAATTCATTTATTCAATTTAACTTTTACCTAATCTTACTTTTTTTTAAGTTACATTACAATTAAACTACTTTTTTTAACCACCAATCCCAAGAAGAGTGCTCATGTCCAGCAATGCTTTAAAATAGGACTATTATAAAATACAAAAGGGTGAAAAAAAAAAACCACCGCAGGGGCCGAAAGCCAAAAAAAATAAAATAAATCATTGTCCAATTTGTTTTTCATTTTTTTTCCTCCGTTTCCTCCATTGTACCGATGAGTCCAGGTGGACCTCAAGCGAAACGAAATAGCAACTAAATATGTAGAGGTTTTGAGTTCAGTGTCAACAGACGATTTTGTTTTACAATTCCCACCTGGACAGAGCAAGACGGTGACTGTCTCCGGGAGCAACAAACAACCATTGCTTTACAGTGTCCTCTGTATCTTCCTCACGAAAGAATGATCGTAGATGAACACCAACCTTCATACTTTTTCTAATATCGTCCGCCTGTTTTCCTTTTTTTAAGATCTCCAGAAATCATCGGTCTATCTGTGTTTCTGTGCGATTGATTCTTGAGAATCATCATCGCCTGCTGCATGTAAAACTATCTCCTTTTGTTCTGAATGGATCTGAGGCGTGTTATAATGCTATGATTTGGGGAATTCCATCCCTGATGGGATTAAAATCTGTTGGTGGATTACTCGCATAAACCAATTAAATCAGCACGTGAGTTCAATCGTTGATTTACTGGTTCACCCTAATTCTTTGTTTATTTACTTGTGTTATGCATAAATGGAAGGGGAATTGGGCAAAGTCCATTTGTGAGTTGGAGCTATATTTGAGGTCTGACTCTGGGTCATGGATGGGGCCAGCCCTGATAATGAAGCGGAGCAGTCTCAGTGCAGAGACTTGGGCGTTGCATCCTCATCTTCAGCATCGACGGGATTAGGATGGAAGCCCAGGCAGCTTGGGTTTACTCCGTGCGTATGGCCTGATGAAACTTCGGATAATTCCCAAACTCTGCGTGTGGTTGTGAGGAAATCCGTGAGTTACTTCCTGAATTTGCTGCTAATTTTGATGATTGATAATAATTCTTCTATCATTGTTACATCATATTTGCTGCGAATATCTCTCTTTGATATGCCAGTCAAAATTCAGTGTTTAGGGTAGTGAAGGATGGCCAATGGATTTTGGGATGCAAGAGCTAGATTTTTTATGTGAAATTATTGTATTGATTTAAGCTTGAAACTTGATACTGCCTGTGACGTATTGAGTCGCGGATGGTGGAGTTTATCCATTCGTACTGAATGTTTCGTGGGCCCAGTGGACTAAACATAGAGACATAGCAATTGCTGTTTTCTCTAAATGGGTTACAGAGAATGCTGCTTATTCATCACTCTGTCTTCACCTCACTTCCTCACGGCACCATGCTAAAGGAAAAAAGATCGGATAGGAAGTTGGCAGTCGTGTAAGTTTTTCTTTTGTCCTATAAATAAGTGAAACAAAAGGAATCACTGCTGAAAACGAAGCAGACAGCAACACTAAAAGCACAACAACATGGACAATTTACCCTGCAAAACATCTCACAACACCCCAGTGAACATCCTCATCCACTAAAAGCTTTAGAGATATGCTGGGCCAAGATTTCAGCAACAAAATGGGTTTCAAGTTTTCTCTAAGGCAAACAATCAAGCAGAGGAACAATTCCCATTGACAAAAGCCTCTTGGCCTCCCAAAACATAATTTAACAGCTCTGCTCAATCAGTCTCAGAAGAAAGCTCCACCTTTTATTAACCAGAAACCAAAATTGCTTTCCTTATTGCCAATGCTCACACCAGTAGGGCTGAAGAAGCATTCACCTTACCACAAAAACCATCACAGACTTCTTGATTAGTGGTTTCTGAAAATTGAGGCCTAAAATTATGTTCGGAAACAAGCTTATAAATAGATTTTCTTATTGCTTTCCTTATTGCCTTTCAAGACAAGCTTATAAAGGACCATCAAAATTATTATTCATCTGATCAGGTGTGGGAAACTAAACATTTTCTCTGCTTTCGCAGGGACCGCTCTATGTGAGTAAATGTCTAGGATTAAGGCTTTGTTTGGGATGGCTTTTAGGTCATCAAAACTGACTTTTTGAACCCATAAAACTAATTGAGGCCTAAAATGATAATTAGCATGGCTTTGGGGACAAATAGATTTTTGGCCATAAGCCAACTTAAAGCCAGAGTTGGTTTTTGGGGCTTGTGGTTTTTGGCTTTTCTTCAAATTTGGAACTTCTGAATTTGGCTTTTCAATATACCGGCCAAGCAAATTTCTGTCAAACTGAATTTATTTATTTTTACAAAAGCGTATCGAAACACAAATCACATTAAAGTAATTGACTTTTACCTCAGTTTGCAAAGTACAGTTCAGACGAAAGTCATTTTTGCAAATTTTAACCCAAACAAGCCCTAAATATTGGTGGGTAGAAATTAGAAAAAGTTAAGGTTCATCTGTGCAAGTTCTTTTTGCTTGTATATATAGGCGTGAAAAAGAATTCAGAATGGACTGAAGACTACGTCTGCATATTCCTTTAGGATTTTCATGCAATGGGAACTTATATATGCATCCATGAATGACCCAAACCATAAAGAAGGAAAGCACTCCGGATCTTTGGTGAGTAGAGAGGAGAAGAATCAGGGGAAAAACATGATACCATTAACCATTAATTGAAGCTGCCCAGTCAGTGTTAAAATTAACTTTTCTGGAGAAAGTCCATTTTCAGGATTCATTTTTAAATATGTAGATATCTGATACACAACTTCTATTTGAAAACTAGTGCTTGGCTGGGTGTGAACTGGATATATCAACTCACCTACTAGTCTCCAGTTGCCATTAGTATCAATTGGAGGACTATTTTCTTTGAGGCCAATTTTAATCCATTAGTTGTTTTCATCTCAAATCCCCCCACATTGGAACAGAAGATAATGATGAAGAGATAGCGTGGCCCCCCTTTTTGTACACTAACGCTCATATATAATCCTTTCCTGCTCAACTTCACTCTTTGCCCCCTCTCTCAGAAAGCATCGCTTTTGGTTAGTGGACCCTTTTTGGCTCTTTCCCTTACATACACTTGGCCCCATTTCTTTTAAGAAGGGTCCTTTTGATTGCTCCTTGTATAAACCTGATCCATTTGCCTGCTGGTTCCATCAGTTTGCCATTATGATTCAAGTGAATGAATGAACTAAACCAAATAGTTTCAATTGTCAGATGTTAGAGCGTGGGAATTAAGATAATCTTGAAGGAGCAGTCACATGTGGTTTAAAATTCAGGGTTTTTGTCAGCAATTGATGTGGAAAAAAAAGCATCAGTGTGACATTTCACTTGGCATCACATTGCATTTTGGAATTTCTTCCCTTGTATTCTCACTCCTTCTCCTAGTGCTGTTGCAGAAGTGAAAATTTGTTGAATGTCAAAGTCCATTTCTTAATTTGAATATTTAAATTTTGGATCATTTTGGAATTGATTTGCAGTTTGATATTATTATTATTTGTACTTGACTGGGTGAAAAACTTTGAAGCTTAGAATACTCAGGCAGGACTTTGAACTTATGTTCAACTTCCAATTTGCAGCTGCTGGCAAGATTGACCAAGGAAATTGTTGAAACATACCAAATATGTAATCCGCAGTTCAAGTATTCTGAAGAGCTGAATCCAAAAAGATATTTGACCAGCCCATCAGTTGGAGTGCTTAATGATGGCTATGATAATGTTAACTCAGATCTTATTCTGACAGTGAACTATGTCTTGGTCAATTTAGAGAGAAATAGAAGGTTGGTCATTCACTCAGACCTTATCCTGACAATGAACAATGGTTACATGTATCCTGTATGGCAACTCTGATAAGGACAGAATGACCAAAATAAAAGTCTCTCCATGAGCATCTTTATTTAAATCCCCAAATTGAAATTTTATGGTTTCACTTACTGTTGCAAGTGTCAAACTAAATTCCTATCTAAAACTGAGTTTGAACATCATCAGCCCTATAAATTTGATTTAGGGTTTACCTATGGTCCTTTTTTATTTCTTTTTTTTGTGGCAGAATTGTCTTGTATACTTTTCAGACCCTAATTTGTCTGCTGTGCACATAAGAATTTCAAAGGATAACTACAAATGTGCCTCTGAAAGCTTTTGCTTCGTGCTTGCCAATTTTTTTTTTTTTTTTACTGTTATGATATATAGTGATATTAAAAAAATTTCTTGTAATTCAGTTGTCAGACCTGCTCATTCATTGGTATAATGGTTCTTTCTTGTTGCTCCCATTTATATGCACACATAGGCAATTGAGGAATTACATTAGGTAGTGAAGCACTAATTACCCCCTGCAGATTTCTTAAATCTTGGTGTTTTGTAATTACGGCATTCCATTTTGCATTTGGTTCCCCCTTCTAAAGTAATTGTTGGTCTCAAGGGTTGAACCTCAACCTCTATTTATTGCAATACTGAAACCTTGCAAAGACATTTATATCCTTACTCTCAGGTGCATTACAGGTGACTATTTTCTCCCCCTGTAAAACTTCACTGAACTCAAAACTTTTCTTAAAAGGATCATTCAATTATGAACTTCCTAAATTCTTCATCCTCTCAACGCTATCAGATTATTGGTACATACTCTGGAAAAGCTTTCTTCTGGTTATTCTTGGGAACTTTCTTTGATTTAATAATAAAAATTGCCGGACTTTACACTTTTGATAATTCTTTTGTATTGTCTTTTCAGGAGAGCATACTATTTAACACACTATATTGCTTTCTCATTCTTATTTTTATATTAGACATTGCTTCTTTTTCCCTACAAATCCCTCCAAATATCAAAAGGAATATGTGAGGATTTTGAAGTGATGGCAAATGTTTCCCCTTGCCTTCGCCTGACAGACAGACGCTGGGGTGTGTTTAAAAATTTTCTTTCCATTATTTTGCAGATATCTTGTCAAAGATGTCCTTGGCCATGGGACATTTGGACAAGTGGCTAAATGTTGGGTTTCAGATACTAACAGCTATGTTGCTGTGAAGATCATAAAAAATCAACCCGCATACTATCAACAGGCATTGGTTGAAGTATCTATTTTGAATACGGTATTCTTTTGGTTCTTATTCCTGTGAAACTAATCATGCTATTGTTAGTACAACTCAGTGGGGTTAGTCTGGTATGTTACTATGCTCTTTTCTTCATGCAGTTAAACAAGAAGTATGATCCTGAGGACAAGCATCACATTGTTCGTATATATGATTACTTTGTATATCAACGGCATTTGTGCATATGCTTCGAACTTTTGGACACAAACTTGTAAGTTATGGATTTTATGGTTTTTTTCATTCTTCCATTTCGTTGGTGATGCAATTAAATTTGTTCATCTTACCTGAACTAGTAATACTGCAAGATAATAGTCTTAGATTTGTTTGTTTGCATTCTTTTGCGTATGTCATTGTTGACATTCTGTTCCCACACAGGTATGAGCTTATCAAGTTGAACCATTTTAGGGGATTATCTCTAAGTATTGTTCAGTTGTTCTCTAAGCAGGTACAGTTTTTTCTTGAAATTTTCCTCGCGGTCCTTAATTTGTTTTGATATGTTACTAGGACTATTTTCTTCATTTTATATTGTTTTTAGATATTGCATGGACTGGCTTTATTAAAAGATGCGGGCATCATTCATTGTGATCTGAAGCCAGAAAACATTCTTCTATGTACAAGGTTGGTTTCTTAATGTAGTCCTCTAGACAACTATATGCTGCAATGTTTTTGTGTTGAATTTTAATATTATGGATCTATCTTGTGTAGTGTGAAGCCAGCGGAGGTCAAGATTATTGACTTTGGATCAGCATGCATGGAAGATCGCACTGTCTACTCCTATATTCAGGTTTACTTTTACCGTATGAGTCTTCCCCCCCCCCCCCCCCCCCCCAAAAAAAATTGTACTGATTACATTTGTCCTTTCTACTGCAGAGTCGATATTATAGGTCGCCTGAGGTTCTTCTTGGATATCAGTATCCTATCAAATGTAGCTAATTTATACTATGATTTTAGAACGGTTTTCTTCTTTTCCTTTTCCCTTTTTTTTGGGAAGGGGTAGGGGAGGGGGTCATTATTTTGCTTCATTTTGTGTTGTTTTTTTAGTTGTTTTCCTTTTCTTTGACCATTTTATTGCACTGTAAGCTCACGGCTATGTACTATGGGTTTGTCCTGTTGTTGGCCTAATAACAAGTTGAGATTTGGACAAAGTAATTTCATTGGATGATCATTTGATTGATATAGGGGGAATCAGAGTAATTTCATGTTCCGATGATCATTTGGATGATATGTTCTTCTCTGGAATCAATTCTAATGCTTGCGCCCTTTTTATATCATGGGACAGAGAGCTAATGGCAACTTTAGTGTTTGTCTTTGTTCAGATATTTTTCATTGACTTCTGTTTGGTCCTTAATCATTATAAGATACACAACAGCTATTGATATGTGGTCCTTTGGGTGCATAGTGGCTGAATTGTTTCTTGGATTGCCATTATTTCCTGGTGCTTCTGAATTCGATCTTTTGAGGCGGATGATTGAAATACTCGGGTATGCTGTTTTCCCTCAAGTGACGTATTTCTAGTACGTGGCAGTCCAATTTAAATGTCTCTTAAATGCATTTGATTTGCCATAAACTTCTTGCTTGGAGAGTAAATTGAGGGCAAGTCATTGTTCAGAAATGGGGGTTGCTGTTAGTCATATTGAATGTTGGGGAAATAAAAGGAAGAAAGAATCAATTGGACATATACGTAAGGGTGAATTAATTTCTGAAAGCTTCATAACAACTGCAATCCATTATTAATAACAAGTTAATTTTCCTTATGTAATGTTTATAACTTTTGGCCATCAAATTATCTATTGGTTTTTTTCAGAAAATGTTTTGCCTAGAAAAAAGCAAAAAAAGGGGTCATCTTGCGTGGACAAAAAGTAGCTATTGAAATGTTGTGAAATTTAAGAGCTGCCAAAATAAAAATTCAAAAGTTTGATGTAATGTTCATAATTTGTACACTCAATAATAATACGTAAATTTTAGTATTGTAATTTTGAAAATTCCTACATTGAAGGGATCTCTGTTTATCTATCCTTATAAATATATTACTATTATTTTATGCATGTTTTGATAACAATCCTGCTATAATTTCTAATTTGTATTACTACATGCATTTCTTGTTATTTCCATGACGTGCTCTGAACTTTCCCACTCCTTCAAATTGGAAGATAAATATAAGATGTTTATGCTTTGACAGTGAATCATTTTGATTCTGCAATGACCTTGGCTAGATGCATTTTTGGAATGCCTCTTAATTCATATAACTGCATTCCATTTAACATTTTTTAGCTAGAAAGAACCATAAAACCCATGGGATGGGCTGGTTTCATTGGGTTGATACTGTTTTTACTGTCCCCCCCCCCCCTTTTTTCCCAGTTTGCTTTTTGAATGGTTTGAGCCACGTATTTGGATTGGACTTAGGACCCGTATCCAATTCAACCAGCCAAACTAGTCGGCCTATAAACATTGTCCATAACAAGATCTTTGATCAGATCAAAGATTAATCGATGTCATCAGCATAATGAACTTGACTTGTTGCTTTTCTTGATGTCCAATTGATGTTGTGGTAGGCATTAAGAATCTAAACTCTTGTTTTAAGAGGCTCAATTTTGTAAACATAGGTTATAGTATCTATATCTTGATGGTTCAAATTAGCAAGGTTAGACAAAACATCTTAATATCACTTTATATCATTGCCACGCATTGAAGCAGCTTTATTCCGGACTCCATAACGAGTTTCATCAGATTGATGTGGAGGAAACAATTGAGAATCAATTAACATGCCATAATAATGCATATAATTGGGTATCAATTTTGACCCAAGTTGATCTATCTGCAGCATGAATATTAGCGTCTCTTTTAGGCAAATTTTCTATGTGATTTTGTCCCTTGAATTATAAACGTATAGGGGTAGCCAAGATTTATAGTAGATGTTGCATGGAGTTATTCATAAGAAGAGGATACCCGACTTCAACATTTCTTAAGATGACATTGTTTGTGTGCCCATGGAAAAAGGGATCCTTTTATACAGCAATGTAAAATGGAATGATATTGGATGATCTAACACTAGGAATCACTACTGGAGGGATAGAATTAGATGTTGGCGGAAGCAAATAATGACAAGAAAGGAGCCGGGGTAGAGGGAGGGAAAAAAAAAGAATTAGGGTGGTGAGTAGTAAAGGTCATAATTATAATTATAACCAGTCAGCAAAATTAGTATTTTGATTTAAGTTCTTTTCTTTTTAAGAGGCAGAATAGAAGTAATTATTAATAAGTTTATTTTAAATATTTATTGAATTAATATAATAATATGATGGGGACTTGGTAGTATGGGATATTAAGTCCCACATTGAGTAGAATGAGATGCTGAATGGGGTATTTAAGGGAGTTGGTTCTTCCATCTCAACAGTTAGTTTTTAGGGTAGGATTCTCCATCAGAGCCAGACTGTTGACGGTTCTGGAGAGGGCCACCCATTGAGGGTTTGGATCGGTAAAATGCGGAGTGAAGCGCCATGGGGTGCAGCTGCCGAGGCTTTTCATGGGGGGCCTATTGATGGGGACTTGGTAATATGGGATACCAAGTCTCACATTGAGTATAATGAGATGTTCAATGGGGTATTTAAGTAGTTGGTTCTCTCGTCTCAAAAGCTAGCTTTTGGGGTAGGGTTCCCTATCCCACTTAGGCACCCATCATAATGTAACTTACTAAAAGTTAAAGAATAATCACACATGTTTTAGGTCAAATATATATATATCTATATACAATAAGTTTATAATTTATTCAAATATATTAGCAAGGATCACAAAATTATAGGGGGATATAATTTAGGAGTATCTTTGTGGAAGAATATAGTCAAGACGTTACAATATTGACGAGGATAGACAAAAAATTTTAAAGCAAATTTAAAATTTTGTTAAAATATATTTTATGTATATTTATATCTATAAAGCATATGAATCACTTTTTCTTTAGGGTCTGTTTGGCTCAATGTGAGGAAGTGGAGGGGAGGGATTTTAATGGAGGGAAGGAGATGGGAGGAGAGTGGAAGGATTTTAATATTACTTTGTTTGGATTTATAAAAAAGGAGGGGAGGGAAGGAGTTTTAATATTACCTTGTTTGGTTCATAAGGGGAGGGAAGGGAAAAATATTTTTACATGGACAATTTTGCCCTTATTTTATTTAAGATATGAGTATAATGGTCATAACATGACAGAATATGGATATAATGGTCATAACATGGCAAAATATTATCCTTTCCTTCCAAATCCTCCTAATTTTCAAGGGGAGGTTGAGGAGGGGAGGGGAGGAAATTTTTTTTAAAATTTTGCCTCTCCTCCTAAAATTTGTGTGTTGCCAAACAAGGGGAAATAATTAAAATCCTTCCCCCTTCCTCCCCTCCATCCCAAATCTCTCATACCAAACACACCCTTAGGGAGTAATTGAAAGTAACTCCATGTAAGAACAAAATGATGCATATCTATTGCTAATTCAAAAGTTGTGCATTTGAAAACGTAAAGCATTTAATATTCTAATAAATCCTATCTACTATTGGCTTGTTGCTGCTATTATAAATTGTTAATTTAAGAGGGGCAATTGACACTTTTTAATGCTTTGGTGGGCTTTTCTTGGTGGATTTTTTTCATTGGCTTGAAGCCTTGAACGTCACTTGCCAAAGTCTTAGTAAGTCATATATATATATATATATATATATTATATTTCTTTTCTCAGGAGAGGGGAAGGGAGGCGCTAAAGTTGTTGAGTATATGCGTTGCTTATATATGTGTATATATGTTCATTGGCTTAGGGGGTACTCACCCCCTATTAGCAATACCTCGCTCCATCCCTGCTTGGATGTGCCGTCATGCATCAATGGTAGTGAGACTATGTAGAAAACATGCGGTGGTGCATGTGGAGGGGTCCAGTAAGTAGACTTGAGGCTCCATTGATTGGTATCCCTGGAGTGTGATGATTTGATGCACGGTGGGTGAGTGGTGTTTTTGTTGGAAACGACAAGGTTTAGGGGAGAGATGAGTTGGAGAGAGGCAATCCTAACTTGGGACCTTTTGAGGAGTCAGAGGCTTTGAAACCTGAAGAAAGAGAATGAATAGCTTCTGTATATTGATTAAACAATGCTTAGAGATTTAATTAAATACTATTACTACTACTATCTACCAACTACCAACCACCAACTACAACCTTTTGAAGAATAAGGCAGTCAAAGAGAGAAGTTCTTCTCCATATTATTCATTCTTAGTGATGTACATATATTGAGGGGAGAGTTTTTTGGCTAAGTTAATGAGGGTACCGGAAATTAGGGACATCCAATCAGTAACTAATTTGAGATTCAAAATCTATCCTATTTACATTAAATAGCAACAATTTTGGGATCGCTTCACCTGTAGTTTTGGGATTGAATTCCTACATTCCCTCTCAAGTTGGACCATATATCAGTCACGTCCAACTTGCCAATGAAATGATTGAACTTGTCTCTAGCTAGTCCCGAATATCTGTAGTCTATTTAGGGGACGGCATATAGGATTGTCTATCTCCACATGATTGGTAGTGTGCTAAATTGGATTGTGGGAGATGTTGATGGTAGCCATATTATCCTAGTAGGGCTTTATTGGTAAGCTCACACTTTATTCTTCAAGTACTTGCTTTTGTACTTCTCCAATTGACTAAGTTACCCCACACGTAGGTGCAATATCTAGGAGTAGATTTTCACATTCCGTTTATCATACTTCTTAAATAAGAGACCACGACTTGAAGAGCCCTTCAAGTATTTGAGAATTCTGTAAACCTCTTAGGGATATTTTAGTTTTAGATCATGGGGATGCTAACTAACCACATTGACTGCAAAGGTAATGTTAGGTTGAGTATGCGAGGTAAATCTTCTTACCATACTTTGGTATCTTCCTATGTCTACAACTTTACCCATGTCTCTTTATCACTAATCTTCTCAACTCGGATAGGAGTATCACTTTTCTACACCCCAACATTTTAGTTTCCTTAGGAAAATTTGGTATATCTTTTCTTTGCGAGATGTAAATTCCCTTTCATGACCTAGCACTTCTTCTTGGAGAAAATATTTCATCTCTCCAAGATCTTTAATCTGGAACTCTTGAGCTAAGGCATTTTTGATGCTATATGTTTGTCATATCATTGCTTGTAAGCACAATATCATCAACATAAACTGCTAAGATAGTTATATGTTTGTCTTGGTGTTTGAAGAACAAGGCATGAGAACACCCCCCCGGGGGTTATACCCTTGTGCCATGTGCCATAAGGACTCAAATGAATCTTTCAAGCGATGCTCTAGAGGACTACTTTAATCCATACAATGACTTCTTTAGTTTACATACCTGGCTTGCCTTTTTCCCAAGGAAATCTAGGGGCATTATCATGCATACATCTTTCAATTCTCTATTGAGGAATGCATTCTTGACATCTAATTAATATAATGGCCAATCTGGATTTGCTTCTAATGACAACAAGACTTTGACTGTGTTCAACTTGGCTACTAGTGCAAATGTTTTTGTGTAGTCTGTGCCATAGACTTGGGAGAAGCCTTTTGCAGCAAGTCTTGTTTTATATTTTGTGGTGAAGACCCATTTACAATGCACTACTTCTTACCCTTAGGTAGATCTATAACACTCTAGGTGCCATTTCTTTCATGGGCTTCCATTTCATTTAAGACTGCTTGTCTCCATTTAGGAGTGGCCATGGCTTCATTAATGTTACTTGGTATCTTGACACAATCCAATTGAGAACCAAAGGCATAGTGTTTTTGAGACAGTGCCTTGTATGAGACAAACTTCTCTATAGGATGTTGGTTACAAGTCTAAGGCTTCTTTTGCATAGGAATAAGCAAGTCAAGATTATTTGCTACTTCACCTTCTTGTTTTTCATCAGGCCTTACTTTGCTCATTCTTTGGACTCGCCTTCTGTTGTGATTCTTGGTGAGTGCTAGGTTCTTGAGATGTATTATTGTGTCTTTGTGTATGAAACTTTAGAGGTTTGTTAGTGTCTCCCCTTATATTAGATTTTCCCTTGTCTTTAGGCACATGATTATTTTTGGGTTCCTATTTAGGTGTATTAGGGAATTCAGGTTTAGGTATGATGTTAGGGGTAGGTGTATCGAGGGCAAGAGGCTCATCAAGGTTTTGTTAAGGCGTATTACTCATCATAGTCTGAGATTCACTTCAATTCTCCCCCTGAAGGTTAGATCAGGAGTAGTATGGTTCATATTTGTGGAAAGTGGCATTACAGGTAATGAACAGTTGCTTGGTAACAGGATTATAGCATTTGTAGTCCTTTTGAGATGTAGAGTACCCTAGAAAGATGCAACGAACAACTTTTGGATCAAGTTTGTTGGGGTGGTGTAATGACCATGGGTAGTATAGTCAAAGACTTTAGAGGTAGGATCTTTGAGCTCTCAAGCCTAGCAGTCACAAGGCGCGTCACGTTTTTTGTGAAGGACCCTCCAGGCATCGAAATTAGAGACAATTTGGATTGGGGGTTCGACTCCTCACCATTTCCTTACTTGGGCTTCTAATTTGGTGGCTTCCCATGAATGTCCTAACATGTGTCCTTTGTATGCCTTGTCCTCTTGCAATGCTCTCAGACAGGATGTCCCTTACCATTTTGCTGCTTCATGGTATGAGGAGCAAGAGCAGAGGATTCAGAAGAGCCACTTCCTGGTATTGGTTCCTTTGTTAGCATCACCTTTCCCTGAAAGGATCAACACAACCAACCTCTTAAGTCCAATTCTAACGGATCTCAAAGACCCACTGGCGGAGGACCCCTTAAGCATAGAATTGTTTGATGTTGACTTGGGTTTGGTCGAGGGTTTGACTCTATTTCTGTTTCAGAAGAATCAAACGGTCCCCTACCCTACTTTGATACCATGAAGAGTAAAACAATCAAAGGGAGAAAATTCTTATATATATTATTCGTTCTCATTGATATATATAGAGGCAATAGCATCTTGGCCAAGGTAATGAGGAGGCCAGAAGTCAGGGGTATACTATTGATAATTAATTTGAAATTCAAAATCTATCCTATTTACATTAAATAGCAACAATTTCAGGGGCCCTTCACCTATAGTTTTGGCATAGAATTCCTACACTTCTGCATATATTTGAATAAAAAAATAGAGTAAAGCCAAACATACCTTTGTCTCCATATTGAGTCAAGAATAAGGTTAGAATTGTCAAAAGCAGCTAATTCATAGTCATTGACTCTGCCCTGTAACAACTGGAGCTATATGCATTACGTAGGGAGAAAGTAAATAGCTCTGGTGCTTGGTAACATGATTAAATAATAATTACAATTATTTTCTCCATTACTTTTAGTCAATTTGAAATAGTTATCCTGCGAGGTTGTATGGGTTTTTAATGGTCCAGTGCCAACTATTATTTGAGTAAACCAACTCTTTTAACTTAAAATTTACTTCATGTGTTAGCTTAACAAGGAAAAAAGGAAATGGTAATTGCTTTGTGAAAGTTACTTTAACTCATGCATCCATGCCATATGTGGTTAAGAAAGTTCTTCCTCCAATGGCTTGGCGGTGGGAAGCAGGATGGTCCCATCTTTGATTCCTCTCACTTATCATAACTTTCTTGTCGTCCTTTTCAAATGGAAATGAAGGGTAGTTGTTAGAGTTTCAATGTGAAAGCAACATTTTATTTTTTAATTTCCGGGTTCTCTTTTCAAAATCATTTGTTTTTCTTCCTTCGCTGTATTGAATGATACCCTTTTGTTGTAAAACTATTTCAGAGGACAACCGCCTGATTATGTACTGAGGGAGGCTAAAAACACTAGTAAATTTTTTAAGTGTACTGGGAGTCTCCAGATTGGAGAGAACAGTGAGATTACGACAAACGGAAGAAGTTCTTATCAAGCATTGACTGAGGAAGAATATGAAGCTGTAAGTTATATATGTTATTTCTTTCCGATTGAATATTATGGTGCCTCTCCTACTGACCTGGCGTTAAAATCCTTCTGAGGTTTTGGAATCCTTTTCCAATGCTAGATCTTTAATTGTCATTTTTGGTTTCTGTTCAGAGAGAGTTGAAGAAGCCATCAATTGGGAAAGAGTATTTCAATCATATGAACCTGGAAGAAATTGTTACTAACTATCCCTACCGGAAAAACTTGCCGAAGGAAGATATTCTTAAAGGTTAGGTTTCATATTTCTTCTTAAAGCTAGGCACAACTGAAGATTCTGTCGAACATATTCCTATAATGTTGTATGCTTCTTTGTGCGTTCTGTTACTAGATTGAGGCCACTAATGAATATTGCATTTTTGGAACTCATTACAGAGAGTCAAATACGAGTGGCATTAATTGATTTTTTGAGAGGGCTAGTTGAATTTGATCCCGCAAAACGCTGGTCACCGTTCCAGGTAATTGGCTTTGTACTGTTTTCAGCGTTGACCTATCTTTATAAACTAAATTTCTACTTGTGCTGATTTAAATTTTATGCCCTCGGTAGTTATATTGTTTAACTGTTGTGTCTGCACTTCTATCTCTTCTAAAGGATTTTTCTTTGAATAAAAAAACTTCCTGCAGGCTTCAAGGCACCCTTTTGTGACAGGGGAACCTTTTACCCATCCTTATGAGCCCCCTCCAGAAACCCCTCGTGTGGTAAGAAAAATCTTAGTTTTAGAAATACTTATATTCATGCATTTGGATTATGCACTTTTTTGGTTGGTTATATTGAACGGGATTGAACTCTGGACATTTCCTCACATCGTAGTTCCACCCCATCCTTGTCACCTGAGTTGATCTCATGCGGTCCATACTTTTTAATTCAAAACTGTAAATGAAAAGAGGAGCCCTCGGGCACAGGTGTCGTCCGAAATGGTTGCTGTTCTGGCTGAGGGTTCGACCCCATCTCAATTTTGGAAGAGTCCAACATGCCCCTAATACCATGAAGAAGACAAAGACGGGGAATAATTTGAATAATTCTTTTGTGCTATTATGTATCCCAATCAGCTGTTGTGATATATATAACGATAGGACTCTGGCTGAATAAATTGGGGGCTGCAAATTAGGGTATACACAATTAGGAAATTACTAAAAAAAAATCAAATTCCTATCCTATTTACATTTAATGCCTATAATCTCGGGATTTCTACAGTAATATTGATTGCCAAACGTGAGTTCGTAACTAACTGAAAAGATTTGTGATAGGATCCAAACTACATGGAGGAGAAGAATGAAGTCTGTATTAAAATACAAAATCAGAATCTAACTTAATAAATTAACAAAGCCGAAGGAAATTCTCTATTAGCATATGAACAAGGATCCTAAACTCATACAATAATAAAGCCTAAAGAGAATCTCCCAAAAATAAAAATAAAAATATATAAAATAAATAAAAATAAAATAAAAATATATATTAGATAATAAGTAAATAAATTAGAAAAATTGACTAGATCACAACCAAATCAATAATAGACAAATCTTAATTGAGATATTTATAAATAATTTCTCATTCTTATTTGTAATAGAAAATAAATTAAATTCTTTTAAAAATATGATAACAAACTGATCAACCACTTCACCGACCATCACACGCTGTAAGGTACTCTATCAATTTGTGACAAAATGAAAAAAAATATTAAATGGAGGACCTCCAAGATTAAATGAATATTGTTTGGATTTGGTTTAAATGGTATTGGATAGATGCAAGGGCGTACTTAAGGTTCCTTTGATCATGGCAGATGCAAACTTGAAACTGTTTCTCTTTAGGATTCATTCATATCTACTTTCTTAATTGTGTTTGAAGCTCTATCCACATGATATCAATTGGGTATAATGAGAGCAAAAAGCTGACTAGATGTCGGATTTACTGTTCACTTCCAGTATGGTAATTAATACCTTATATGTTCCCAAGAGATAAAATATCAAGATTTGATAATCGCGAGGATTAACTCAGCTAAATGTTATAAGGTGAACCCACTGGAAAAAAGGAAGCCAAATGACTTGGAGAGACCTAATGGTCTTACCTGAAAATTTTGCTTATTATTTAAATTTTAATGTGATTTTAGTGGTGCCTTCTATTTTATTCTGAAGTTATAAACTGTGACTACTTGCATGTCTTGTCATTCTCTTAGTATAACTGTATTCCTATTATTTATTCTGGCTAATTTCTTTTGCTGTTGCTTCTCTTATTGCAATGGGTTACTTTGTAGATTATATACATGGATTTCAATCTCTTCATGGTCTAATATGTATCTAATTTTGTTAATGAACTTTAGCCGGTTGTTCAAGCTGTCAAAGTGGATCATCACCCTGGTGGAGGGCACTGGTTTGCTGCTGGTCTATCACCTAATGTGAGCCTGCTACCCTCTTACATATGAAATGTCTTTCTATTGAACCTTTTTTTTTTTTTGGGTTGGGGTTAAATGCATGCATGATATATATATTTTGGTTTTGATATGGTAAAGTAATTCAGTTATATATTTTTGCCTAGCTGCTCTTGTATATTAATATTGATGAAATACGTCTATTCCAAAGTGTTTTACTACTATCACTTATTGCGTGACTAGTGCAAACCCAAGTAACTAGTTGATACCAGTCATTTAATCTAGTAGCTATTCTAATTCTAATATGCATGTGTGTGAGCGGGAGTATATGATCTCACATTTAAATGGAGGCCCTTCAGCTGAAAGCGCAGATGTTGATAGCCTGTTACTAATGTAGTTATACAATTAGTTGCTTAGATCCATTAGGTTAAGTTTTCTAATCACACTTATTGTTTCTGCTATTGTTCGTTAAAATGCGTATATGCACTTATAAATTTACTTATGAATACTTGTAAATTTTTGTATAAACTCATAATGTAAATTAGGATTTGTAAATTTTCATATGGTCACTAGTTATTTTGCTATTGTTAGTTGTTAAAATGTGGGGAAAACCATTTTGTACGTACCTATAGTTTCCTTCAATTTTTAATTGGTACCTGTGTGTTTTTTTCCTCTTAATTAAACACTTTAATTTTACTCTATTAGCACTGTTAGCTTTTGTAACTTTACTCTACTTGTACTGTTAGCCCCTGTACAAAAGCTAATGGTGCTAATAGAACCAAACTATAGTGTTTAATTATGAGAGAAAAGTACACAGGTACCAAATTAAAAATTGAGGGAGCAAAATGATTTTCCCTTAATATGTGTATGGGCGCTTGTAAATTCACATATGAAATATGGCTATTTGTTATTTTGGTAGTTTTAGTTGTTAAAATGTATATGCGCACTTATAAATTCACCTATGAACTTTGACCTTATGGATAGAAGCAATTGGACTGTAGTTTTGTCCTGATTTTATTACAATGGTGAGCTTTAGTGAGGTTGTTTGCTAGTTGCTCCCCAATATTAGATAGATTAAAATGAATAAAATGGCAGTGAGGTTGTTTTGTCCTGATTTTATTACATGTGCAGTGGAAAGATACCCTTTTAGAGTGTTCTCATGGATAAAATGGCAGTTGGCTTCAATGTGGTTTTCTATTCGGCAGAATAAAATATTAGACAGAATGTGAATATTTGCTAGATTGTCATACTGATGGAGTCCTGCATTGGGTAGCCACAAGTGATTCTTGGGGTACTTGAATGGTATGACTCTTTCACTTTGCTCTATGATTTTTAAGGGTGGTTTCTCCAAGCTTAATCAAGTCCCAATCAATTAGGATGAGAGATGAATTGACTTGCACGGATATGGCTACCTTTGGAGGGTGTGCCCCTGTGGTCAGTGACACTAGTGCGGGCATTGAGGACGTTGATTCTTTAGACGTAGTGCTGTGATGGAGCCCCGTACTGGGAGCCACAAGTAGTTCTTGTATTTAGTTAAAATGATTTTTCCCTTTGCAAACCAACTTTCACTGGTGGATTCTCCATGCTGCTTACGTCTTGATCCCACACCTTAGTTTCATAGCAATATCATACTAAATTAGATTGAAGTCTGTATCCACACCTTGGTCCGTTAGTCTAACTTAAAATCGTAGGCTGATTTGATTTTAATAACATTGATTCAAACATAGCAGCAGCAGTTCAAGGCATGATAGGACCTATTCTCTATTCATCTTCCTGAAAACCCTTCAATGTAAATCCGCTTCGCTCTAAGATTTAGTTTATTTATAGTCACCCCAATGACATATTGATATAATGGTTGCTCTGGTTATGGTCGTCCATTAGATTTCTTTGCTAGTAGAAATGTTTGCCTTTTTTAAGGGCTACTACTTGGAAAAGTCATCAATCTTTTTTCTTCCTAATCTATTATGTTTGTTGGCTTATCTCCACAGCCATTTGAGTGAGATTGTTATTCAATGCCCACCCGCGAACACGCAGTCTCTCTCTCTAATTTATACCACCTAATCCATTTAAGCTGAATCCCCTGTTTGAGTATCAATAATCCAGGATTATCCTCTGCAATCTCTTAAGTCCAGCTTCCTTGGTATTTGCATTGTGTAATTGTGCATCTATGATTGTTACTTCCCTGAATATTATTTTTCAAAATATTTCTTGGTAAATTATATGATGTTCTCGCAGGTTCCTAGCAAAAGTAGGCCGTCATTATATAGCAGCTTGCATTTCCAGATGGTGCAATATCCACCCGCGAACAGCTACGGCAGTGTAGGAAGCCATGGTAGCTACAATGATGGTGTTGGGCTTGGAAGTAGCTACGGAAGTTATGGAGAAAGCAATAACATGTTTGCATACTATTCGCCTGTTGGTCCATCTGGTATTCATTTGCTTGGTCATGGGAGTACGTCAATGCTTGGAAATAGTCCTGATGCAAGGAGAAGAGTTATCCAATTCCAGCCGGGGAATGGTCGAGGCTTAAGCCCATCTGCTGCGACTTTCAGCCATCTGCCCCTTGGTGCCAGTCCCTCACAATTTACTCCTCCAGGTTCCTATACGCAAGTTTCAGCAAGCTCTCCAGGACACTATGGGCCTACTTCTCCCGCAAGAGGCACTTCTCATGGATCACCTTTGGGGAAGACATCTACTGCTAGCCAGTTCAATAGAAGAAAAAATTGGGGATGTTCCGGAAGTCCTCAAACTCAAGATATAACATTTTCTTCACATTGGCAAGGTCAATGTCCTGACAGCTCCATCCATGGTGAAGGAACATCTCAAGTTCTTAGCAGCTCACCATCTTATCTGCAATCAAATACTGATGCTGCAAACCGGAAGCAGCGAGGAGGTGGAGCTAATCAGAAAATGGCATGCTTGTTTATGCCAAGTTCTAATTCAAACTTGCAATCGGCAGAACTGGGGCATGACAAGCCAGAGTCTTGCTTATCAATGCCTGATCCTGGTGATTGGGATCCCAATTATAGGTAAACAGTTGGATTTTAAACATCTATTTTCTGTCCGATTTATTCTTGGGACTATTATCTTGCATGTTTGTTTTTGCTTCCTTTTTGCATAATAGATCTCAGATTGTATTATATGGCCCTGTTTGGTGCGTAGGTCTGACTTTTGATGGATTGAGAATAGGAGTGGTGATGGGATTTAAAATTATGTTTGGCATGCATGATATTTACACGGAATAGTTACATTAATTTTATTTTAAAATCAGTCATCAATTGTAAAAAGACTATAGTATCCTTAATTACTTTAAAACAAAATAACCTAGCAAATTATCGCTTCTTCAACCTTTCATTTAAGTGTCTTTCCGCTTCAACCTGCCTAGTTCGATCGTGCTCAACTAGGTTGAGTGATGTGTTACGAAATAAATAAATGAGGGAGTTTGTTAAGGGTAGTTATTAGGTAATTGACGTTAGGGGTAAGAGTCTATAAATAAAGCGCAACATGACTAATCCTAATTACCTTAGGATATTAATGAATTAAGCTTCTGTATTTCTCTTGTCCTCCCTCTGTCAAATTCTCGTCTCTCTTTCTCCCTCTCTTCCTCTATTCGCTTTCTATTCTCTCTCTTTCCATCTTTATTCTATATCTATGGTATTAAAGCCTTACCTTCCTTGGCGTGATATATTGAAAAGATTAGAACACAGAAACAATCGACCATAATGGACTCCCTAAGGTTAAAGGCAAGGACATTCTTGGATGGATCTTGGCATGCGAAAAGTATTTTCAGCTTAACGAGATACTAAAGGGATAGAAGGTAACTACGACCTTTCTGTATCTGGATGAAGTAACTTTCCAATGGCATCAAACATGGAGTGATCATGGGCTTTTTTGTGGCTAGAGTTTGTTGAACACTAGAAGGTTCACTTTGATCTCTGGTTGAAGCAACACAGCCATAGCCGTTTGAGAAAAAGACTGGTCTTCGCATGGCTTGTACCCAAGGTCACAATAGGCTAGAAGCAATGCTGAAAGACACAACATTCATAGATTAAGGGAAAGTGAAGATGGATCCGAAGTAAGGATAGAATGGCTGTACCCATAGAGTGTTGAGTGTGGTGGACATAAAAGGGAGACTCTTAACAGCATTTGGGCAGGTTGGGTTATCAAATTTTTGAAACAAGGGTCAAAACCCAGCAGCTTACTGTCGCAGGTTATTCCTCTTCTTTCATCGCCATAAGCTTGGGTTCGTCATCTATTCTTGCTTCTTTTCCACCCCTATCTCTGTCCATGCAAGTCGAGAAGCACCAACTCCAAGAACAGAACTTGGAAGACGTGTCCAATGATGTCACAACGGGTTAACAGTGATTTCTAAAGGTGCAGCAGTGAAGAAAGCAATGTCTTTTGGCCCTACCTGTGGCTTGTGGAACTTGTGAAGAGTTCTTCCAGCGTAGAACAAGGGGTTGACTTCCAAGGAATTATCTTCAGTAAGTAGGACTAAGGACCAATTAGATAGAAATGCCCTCGACCTTAACAGTAAACCCCAACCAAGGCCTCATAAGAGGGACCCAGGTTCTCTGAAGCTATAGGGCCCTTGGAGAACTCCTGAAACAGAGAAAGTACCCTGTTTTGCTCAAGCTACATGGAAGATGAGTGTGCCCTGTGTGTTTCAAAGTACCTTGGAGCAGCATATGTGGGTCAACTGGATAGTTGGCTAGCATTTTCTCCAAGTGCCAGAAGTATTTTGAGGGGGAACTGGTTTTTGTAATACCATATGGGCATATTTGCTATGACAGTGAGAGTAAAGGAAAGAGCTCAATACACTTGCACTTGGGCCTTCCATATTCGATGGGTGTCCTTAATGAACTGTTTCCTCTGATATTGTTGAGACTGGACCAGACGGTTGGATCGGTCTGACCATCAACCAGCAATAATGGCAGGCCATTTCAAAGGTTTGCCGGGATTAAGCTGTTTCTAGCTGGTATTTTAGCCGGAAAGTGGCAAAGAAGGGGAATTGGGATGGTTTGAAGAGAGGTGGCTGGCCAAAAAGAAAAAAGGAAGCAGAGATGGAAAGCGAAATTGGGAAAAAACGAAGGGAAAAATCTTATATCACCCTCAACTATTCTATCTCAGCCTCTTTGTAATGCAGAAACAAACCATTATGAGAGTGAGATGAAAATCATTGATAAGAAGAGAAGCATGTATCAGCCTCTGGTGGTCTCCATCTCTCCCGGTCTCTTTTACTCTTTAATCTCGAATGAAATCTTCAATAACACCGTTCACTGTATCAGTGAGAACTCAGCTTTTCAATTCTTCAAATCTTTATCCACTGTCACACGTTTTCACCAGTGACAACTCACTTACCACACATTTTCACCAGTCCCCTCCCATGCTTTTTTCACTTCATGTGGGCTCATTAGTAATAATAGAATTACTGTATTTTTTAAATAATCAATGATAAAATAAGTAACATAATAAAATAAATAATAATTAGTTTTTTAAAGAAAATATAATTATAAAATTTAATGATAAATATCTTAATATATTTTTTGCTAGCTAAATTTAATATTATTATTTTACTATATTATAATTGTTTTTTTTATGCCAGCCAGGTACTATATTATAATTTTATGATATATATTTACATTTTTATTCAAATTACAAATTATAAAATGTTTTTGCTTCCTCTATGCTGTGAATAGTATTATAACATATATAATTAATATATATTTAATTATAACCGGTCCAACCATGGTTTGACCATGGTCCGACTATATGAATCGTGACCCACTGTTTATACCAGCTTAGTTTCTGGTCCAGCTTTCAAAACATTAGTTTCTTCAATTTCCTCCTAGAAGAATTCTGGTTGTTATGTTTCAGAGGGAGTCTGATTAAGATGTTTATGGGGCCTGGTATAGTACAATATTCACTGTACCTGACCCTTGAGGGCAAGGGTCTTTTACCTTGGCCGGACATGTTTGGACTAAAATGGGTCAGGACAAGCTACATGCTGCAAAGTGCAGCTCGTGCCTATCCCAGGACAGGTAGCAACCAAGGGCTCGGGCCGCTTATCCCCGCCCATAAACTGCCCTAGCATGCAACATGTGCCGATTCTTTTGGAGCACATTATTTCCTCCAGTATTGTTTTTTTCTTGAGAGTCTCTAGGCTATCATTTGGAACCCTTATCCTATCAATGCTAGTGGTAAAAGCAGGGTTTTTAGGTGATAGGGCTTTATAAGCAACAAATTTTCTGTAGGATGAAGGGAACAAGAATTGAGTTTCTTTTTAAGGGCAATAGAGAGATCAAGGTCATAAGTTTCCTCTACCTGCTTAGGATTATTGGAAGTACCTTTTTCAGGGGATTTAGGGACTACCATTGGTTTTGACTCCTTTATTGCTTCAGGTACAATTTGCTCACTATTATTTGATTTCTTGCTTGGCATGCAAACCAACACCTCTTGATTTTTTTTTTTGCTATCTTTAGACTTCCTTTTGCATCTAGAACTAAAGGAGAGGTTGATGAAGCTAGTGCTGGGTCCAGACGTTTTAGATTGTGGGGGCAATAAATACATTACATATTACTATTAAAAATACGAATATTTCACTAGTAATTTCTATGAGTTGTCATGCACATTGTGGATAAACCGAATATTTTCTCTCTATATTTGTCACGTGTTTGAAGAAAAATGTTTGTTCATGATTTTCTTCTGAACTATTTTTCTATTCTTAGAACTAAAATCAATTTAATCACAAATTGCAATAAAAAAAATAAGAAATTTTGTGGTACAATTTTAAATCAAAATGTATTTTAAAACTAAAGGAGGTATGCTATGTCTCAACAATGTAATCTTTTTTTTTTTTTTTAAAGGAAAAAAAGAGTCTCAAGAAGTAATGCAAGAAGAAATATATGCTGTTAAAAGGAAGAAACCTAGAATTTTTTACTTTTCAATCTCAAACCAATCAAAATTTTTTTTTTTTTTAAAAAAAAAAAGAATTTAAGCAATGGGTAAAATAGATATGTAAAAGGTATAGTAAAAATATGTTATATGTATATAAAAAACGTAGGAATGTGTGATAAAAAATTGGATTGCATTAAAAATATTGTTAGATGTTAGAGAAGTTTAATACATATCATATATGTTTATATACAAATGCATATACAGAGTATTGGGGGGAAAACTAGTGGGGGCAATTGCCCCTACAATCATAAACATAGATTCACCCCTCGGTGAAGGTTGAGGTGATGGCTTAAATGGCATGGTCCGAGATCTGTGAAATTTTCAAATGGTATGGTCTGAGGGTCACAAGGTTCTCATTCCTTGTTGGGATCTCTATCTCATATCTGCAATTCACTCGTGCTCTTCCCCTAAATTGGAAACTTTTAACAAAGGGAGTTTCCTCGAGTAAAGTGACATCAAAACTTGCAAAGGTATACTTTGAAATAGGATCATAGCATTTGTATCTTCCGGAGATGGTAAATACCCACAAAATATATATATATAATATATTTGGTAACACAGGGTTCAGGTTTGTTGATCTGGTGGAAATGATCAAGGGCAGGGTTTCTCTTCCCAGAGTCTTCTTTCTTTAACAGGCCTTGGGCCTTCCGTTTGTACTCTTGTTTCTTTGTTATCTTTGGTCTCAAGGTGAAATGTGCGCAAGTAGCTTTGTAATTTTTTGAGAGGGGTGTCAAAGACGAGACTTTATCAGGCATTTTGTTAATGAGGTAGGTGGTGGTCAAAATAGCATCACCTTGAAAAATTTTGGCGTATTACATTAGTGTACTAACCACTTCTTTGATGTGTCTCTTTTTTTTTTTTTTTTTTAAATTCTCAACTATCCCATTTTGGGGGGGCGTATTGAAACTGGCACCTTTGTTAGTAGGTCTATGCTTTTGAAGAAATGCACTCAATTGATTAGAATATTCTGTGGCATTATCAGTATGTAAAATTTGGATGTTAGTGTTGAACTGATTTTTTATCATGATGTAGAAGTTGGTAAATTTGGATGAAACCCTACACTTGTCTTTTAAGAGGTAAACCCAGCCGAGATGAGTACAGTCATCTATAAAGATGATGAACCATCTCGTCTTTGTATAATTGGACTCTGATTCACAATTCAAAAGATTGAAGAACTTGTCTATGTCAACGGGGGCTTTTCTTGGTGGGTTTTTAAGGAGGATAATTTTTTCCTTGACCTGACTTTATTTTATTCTTTCTCCCTTTAAATAGAATTCTTGTACGTGGAGGCGTTTTTTTATGCGAAGAACCAATTTATTGATTAAAAGGGAAATACATGATGTGTTGAAAAGTCATGAGAAGGATTCTTATGCTCTTTAGCGAGGTGAATTTTTCTTTGGTTTTGCTTTAAGAGAACCTTAGGAAGTCTATAGGTTGACTATTGTTAGAGAGCTCGTGCCATAATGCTCCAAATTGCCTCTAAATCCTCCTTCATTGGCGTATCCTGACCATCCTAAATCTGGCTAGAATATTTAAGATTGATTCCATCCCATGTTTCATGCTAGGAGCCGGTGGATGATTGGCAGAGATACCCATCTGCTAGTTCCCTTATTTGGTGAGTCAACCCTCTACCATTTAGCCCTACCTCTGTAGATAGCTTTGTAAACAGAGCCATCATAGTTTGCAACTTTATTCAAATGAAATAGAAGTATAATTTTTTTGGCCAAATAAAAGTAACATTCAGTAAAGTGATCACACAATGATCAACTTTGGCTCCGTGAGTACCTGGGGACCCAAAAACTGCTCAACCTCCAAGACAATGAATGGAACCCCAGCACATTTCTGTCTGGTAACCTTACTAATATGTCCGTTGAATAGTAAAAACCGTTGACACTGGGCTCTGAAAACTGTGGTGACCTCTTCAAATTCTCCAGGCTATGCTATAAATAGCTCCTAAATATTTATGTTGCTAACTATTAATGGATTGGATCTTTTTAGTTCTCACTGTTATATCTTCTGATATTTCCTTAATTTTTTTATATATCAAGGTGATATTTATATTCTTATAAATAGTTCAATTCAAATCCAGTGATGAACTACTTCTGCAAGAGGATAGTTCAGATGGAAGCTGCTTGGCAACTGAGTTTGGCAGAAATATGAATATTGGTTCCACGGAACCATTGGTTGGATTTGGAAGGTTCAACCATGCCGCCAGCACAAGCTCTCCTATATCCATTCAGAGGTAGGCTGCCTGGAAGTTACTTCTTTACCATTGTGCCTTTTACTTTATCCGTACATCTTGCTGTTTCCTTTACACAGTTGATTTGTAGTTTTCTATGACGTTATGAAGATTTTCAGTGACTCCTTATAACATATTGAAAATTTTGAATATATTTTTCCATTTGATATTAAATTAAAATAACTGTAAAATTCTGCGAATACCAAAGTTCAATTATACTCTTTTTTTTTGGGTCATATATGAAAATGAAAACCAGGAAATAATAATGAAAATATGTTAATATTGTAAATCGCTATTAATTATCACTGATTTTTCGTCGTGTACTCCAGACAACATGGACCGGTTCAAGCATATTCTAATGTAGAGATGGATGGCCCTCCAGCTCATGATGTGCAAGTTGGATACCTGCGCTCGATGTCTAAGCCTTTTCATTTCATCCCTCGTATTTTGCAAAATTCTCCTAGCCGTTTTGGTCTGCAACCTGTCCAAAGATTTGCTCATGGCAGACCCACTCAGTTCAGTGATTGGAATCAAATTAAGGCTCAAGCTCCTCCTTCCAGTTTTGGCAGCGGAGAATCGCGTTCTCCAAGAAATAGCTCGTTTGCCAATAGTATGACATGGGGTATAATATTTTCCACAATCAGTTTGCTCGTCTGCTTAATTTCTTTTATTTTGAGGATATATATATACTACCTCCGATCCTTAATATAAGAGCTAGTTTGATTTTTAATTTATAAAAGAGCTTGACTTTTAATTTGATCATAAATATAAGACCTCAATCTACTTTGTCTTTCACAATTAGCTATTTTTTTCAATGTAGCCCTTATAGTAGTTGTACATGTTAAATGTTTTATCAAATAACTAATGCACATGATTAGCAAGGGCATTTTAGGAAAGATAACACCTATTTATTACAAATAACTAATTTAACTAATTTTTCTAATCTATTCAAATTAGTCAACTAACTCTTATATCAAGGATCGAAGATAGTATTTTTGTTATGCATTATTTCTTTCACATCATCTGCTTCCTCTCCAAAGTGCATATTTCCCAGAACGCGAAATAAATTGATTGGCATACTCTGTTGTAGGGCGTAGAGTTAATCCGCCTGTCTCAAACATTCCGCCTGCATCCTGTGCAAGGAAAGACTATGCAAGGATAGACTAGCAGTGGATCAACTCGTCGTTTTATAATGTTTCATGGTGAGGGTTATCGTAAGGTGATAAAAAAGAACAGAAGGGAAGGGGGAAATATTGTACTTCATTGGGATGAGCGGTGTGGCAGGGAGGAGAGGGAAACCCCGTCTAGATGTTGATCATTTGCTGTGGTTGCATAAATGTAATTTATGGTTATAGTGTGCATGCCATGTTGCCATTGATCATTTATTCCAGTGATGGTAATTTAGATTTTAGCCAATCCAATATATATTGATGCAATTTACTTAATACATATTCGCAAGCTTCCAATTTAGGATCAGTGTCAAATTATTTTATAACTTTATGATCCAAAGTTTCCAATTTTTTTTGTAAATTTTGTAATTTATTTTTAATTTTTAGAAGTAGAGGTTGGTTTGCAATAATCGGATCCTTTGGCACATTTTCACCGTAGGATTTGACAGGTTATTGACCTGGAGTAGATTTTACATTATCTTGTGACCATATCTCACTCTTCCAATGATATTACGCACAACACGAATTACAAATATAAAATACCAAGCTTATCTTTATTATTATGTTTTTTAATACCGACAGAAAGAGAAGAACAAAATAAACAAAGGAAAATTAAATATAAAAAGGTTTTTTAAAATCAACAAATTATTATGAAGTTCCAAAGGGAATTATTGAGGCTTCATAGTAATTTGATGATGATTATTTTTTGTGTTATCTGTGTACCTTTTTTTCAAAAAAAGACAATTTGGTAATTAAACTAATAAAATCTATTACAATAAGTCTCTTAGGACTTTAAAATAATTTGATGATTTTAAGAGATTTTTTCGTATTTAGTTTTTTTTTGAGGTGGGATATTGTAATTTTTTCAACTAAATTTATCCGACTTCAAATAATGTATTCTAAGCTGATGTTCTCATGTATTCATGTAAAAATTGTTAGGATTTATTTTCAAAATTTCATAGTAATTTACTTCATGCACAAATTATTCTCGTGAATATTTGTTATTTTGGCAAAAGGAAGTATTGAGTTAAAAGGTACTTATTTTAGGTCTTTTTCATAGACTAAAGTGTTGGTTAAAGACAATAAAAAAATTTTTAACAAAAAGAATCCATTTTATTAATCACCCAAAAAAATAATTATACTCACAAGACAATCACATTTTGACATGTCAAAACTATTACAAGAATATTCAGCATAACCTTTTTGTCTTTTTAAATTTTAATAGGTTTTTTTTTGTCATTTTTCTTGGCCTTGACAAATATTACTATTTAGCCCCTAGTAAAAGTGTTAATTGTGACGATGAAGGAAACACAGAAAAAGCCGAAGGATATGATGAAGAAAGATTTAACAAATGAGATTGATAATGCAATTCAAAGGAGTGAGGAAGTGAAACTTGTAGAGAGGGGTTGAAGAAGAATTCACCTCAATCTACTAATAAACAGGAAGCAAAGGGGCCGCCTAGAACTTAGGTATCTTATAAATCAAAGCTTTTTGGGAAGCAGTTAGTATCATTTTGAGAGGTTTTAGAAGAACTGCTCTATTTTGTGATTGCACGGAAGCAGTTAGTATCATTTTGAGAGGATGTGATGCTGGTCACCCTTTTCAGGACATCATCAATGGCATTAGATAACTTGTTTAAAGGGAGTGGCAGGTCATTATGTATCATGTTTATAGAGAGGAAAACTGTCTTGCGGACAGGCTAGCAAAAATGCCTCATAGGTTAGATACTATTGGTGCTTTCTTGATCAACCTCTATCTCTCAAAGAACTTATTAATTGCTTTGTTGTGCTGCGCTAAGTTGTTTTATTAGACATTTAGTTTTAATAATAAAAAAAGAAGTGTTAATTGTTGTTCGAGTTATGTAGCCAGATGTGCTCTAGAGAGGATGGCAGTTTATCAAACCATCTTTGGGGTACCATCTTTGCAGGAGACCAGAAACATTGTCCGGTTGCCACACACTACAATAGAAAATCCAACACTTCCAATCATAGCCATCAAGATCGTTACTCACAATATCCTCCTATACAAATGCTGACAGTATTTGCCAACTAATCCACAAAAAAAAAAAAAAAAAGAAGATAGTCTTTGCCAACAAGGATTTATTAATATTAAAGATATCCTTATTTATAAGAGTGTGAGTGAGAGACTAAAAAATAATTAATGCAACCATAATAACAAACAATTAATAAAGGCAAAAATAAAAATGATACTAAAAATTTTAAAAAAGCTGTTAGTGTCTCTTATAAATGAAAACATGTTATTTCTTAAAAAAAAATCTTGTATATATATAATTAAAGGGTGTATGTTCTTATTCTAATTTGTAATGATGATTGGTTATTATAAACTACTTGTTTTAGGAATTTTACTCTTCCACGTGCCAAAATTATTGTAATGTCATCCATAAGTTGGCAAATATTTGATTGCTAAGTTTAGAAGAAAAAAACAAGTTAGATCGACATGTGGCATGTCAAGGAAGAAAAATCTAAGGTAAAAAGCATTTTTGCCCTCAAAGTATTTTCGAAAAAGCAATTAACATCCTAAAGTTTAATAATACAAAGCGATTGATACTTTTTTCAATCAAAACATGCCACTTGGGAGTTAGAGTTGGCTAATAAACCTTTTTCTAGTGACAAATGCCTAGTTGGCAGGTTAAATGATATTTATTGTTTTTTTTCATTCTCACCGAAACGTATGATATCATATTTTGACATCGATCGCTAGTGAAAACTGAGGGATTTTTTCTTTTCACTAGTACTTACTAAATTTTGTTATATTCAAATTGAAATGAGATTGGAATATAGAACGAAAACGGTTGAAAACAAATATAACTAACTCAAAAGTTAATGGTTTCTAATTCAAAAGTTAATGGTTTTGTGACCTAGTAACATGCAAGCTCATCAATAAATGAGAATATTGTGAGTTTAATCCTACTTGTAATCCTATACGGTTAAATATAGGGGTAATAATAGGAGACAAATAGAGCAAGACAAATAGGTGAAATTAATGAGGTTAATGCAGGAAAAAATATTAGAAGAGATAAAATGAATCAAAGTTCTATATTTAAGATCAAATCATTCCCATCAACTAGGTCCAACGAGAAATTTATCCTTGCTGTCCCTACAAATCACACCTAGACCCGCCATAGCTCATTTAAAATCACCATCAAAATTAATCTTAATACAGACTATGTCTGGTTTTTTCCAAGAATACAGGATTTCCTTTGAAGCTTTCCTTCCTGCATTTTCAGCATAAGAAGCCTTCTCTTTTGAACGCCAAAATTCATCCACCAAACTTCTTACTTTAAAAATCACATCACAAGGATTTAAATCCTCCCCTTTAAACACTTAATCACACCTAGCTTTCCAATTCCACCAACACATAAAAGCAATGGTAAATATCATTAAATTATCAACCTTCTCATTTTTTTTTTTAAAAAAAACCTCTTCACACCAACTTTCCACCTGTGAGATATGTATTCCCAAGTTGTAGCCAAACTAACATTTCTTAGTCCATGGGCATAAGAACAATAAGTGTTCAATTGTTTCCTCTTCAGTACCGCAGATAGGACATAACGTATCCTTAGAACTCTCCACATAAAATGCTGCACCTTTGGCGGGACTACCAATTTCCAAACTCGCTTTCAAAGCTCTTTTGGCACCCTGTAGGAGGAACTCGTATCATTTATCTTTCTTTCCCCTTTCTCCTTTCTGGCCATAAAGTAACCAGACTTTACATATAACAGTCATTCCTCATTTTTTTCCGAACTCACAAACAAGCTCGTCACGCAGAGCAGAAACAAGATTAAATTAGTAACCTTCAGACCCTTCCTCTGATCTTCAACTCAGTGCTCTCCCAACCTCTTCTTTAATTCTAGAATCCACCAGCTACTCCAAATATTAATACTTGCACCATCCCCTACGGTCCAACATAATTCTTCCATCAATAAACTGCTCTATTCCAAGATGCTATTTCATACCCAGGATGCTCTACATCTCTTTTTTTTCCTATAAAAAATCAGAGTTCAAAAAATAGATTCCTTTAAGAATCTGACACCAAAGATCTATAGGTTACTGAATGAATTTCCAAGCAATCTTTGCCAAAAGAGCTCTATTAAAGCACATAACATCTCTAAAACCCATTCCACTTGTGCTTTTAGAATCAGATAGCAACTCCCACCCCTTCCAATGAATATTATTCTTGTTTTCTCGTTCATCCCACCAAAAGTTTGCAATCAAACTATTAGTACCATACAAGATTTCTTGGGGAACAAAAAACAAATCATTTGACATGCAGAGATGGAGTTTGATATTGCCCTAATCAAAAGTTTGCAATCAAAGGTTTCTGCTCCTAGCCTTATAGCTTCAACCCTACCTTATCCCTCACAAAAGCAAGAGTAAAGACCTTAGACCTTCCCCAAGTAGTCTGTAGTCCCAAGTACTTGCCAGATTGATCCACTTGCTTTATTCCCATCACAAAAGAAACATCTTCCCTCACTTCTTTTGGTGTATTTGCTGGAAAAAACAAAAGAAACATCAAGGTTCACCTCCTGTCCAGAAGCATTGCAATAAACCTGAAAAATATTTTTCAACACTAAGTAATTAAAAGGATCAGTATTCACAAAAAATAAGGCATCATCAATGAACAAGCAATGGGATAAAACTAGGCATTTGTTAGCTAACTTCACATCTCTTTAATCTTTCCTATCCACATGATACTGAATCATTAGAAAAAGTACCTCAGTAACCATAATGATGAATAAGTTAGGTGATAATGGATCACCTTGGCGCATTCTACCATGGGATTTAAAGCTAGCTACATCTCTACCAGAAATTTAAAGATCAAAGTACACAGACTGCACACAGTTCATGACCTAGTTGATCTAAGTATTGCAGAAACCCATCATCTTCATTACTCCTTCTAGAAAATCCTATTCCATCTTGTCATATGCCTGGTTCATGTCAATCTTTATTGTCACTTCCCACTTGTTACCCCTCCTTTTATTCTTCAGATAATGAAAGCCTTCATGAGTGATGATCACGCTATTTTGTATCATTCTACCGGTAATAAAGGTTCTTTAATTAGGAGAAATTATTCTGTTAATCAGATTCCTTAATATCATAGCCAAAGTCTTCGTAATGATCTTATAAGATACATTGCATAGACCAATCAGTCTAAAATGTCCCCCCACTTTAGGCTTATTAGTGTTTGAAATCAATACAATGTCCGTCTTATTTATTTCCTTAATCTCTTTATTACCATTAAAGAAACTTCTTACCATACAACAAATCTCTTCTTTAATCT